AAGAGGTAGAGCAAGAAATGCTTCGGGATCCTAATGAAACAGTCTTAGGAGATAGCCTGAGGTCCAGTTATGTGTAAAGTGGGCTACTGTTGCTTGAACCAAATTTGCACCAAGTGGCCTACCAGCAGGGTATAAGTTACTAGGATTCGACTTCTGGGGACAGCTAGGATTATACATGCTGCAGCTTCTTTCCCAGTTTGCTTCTGCACTTGGCAACGCGACCGCGTAAGTACTGTGTATGTCTCAGCAATGACCAGGCCGCATGAGTCTGACGGCGTCTTCGGAAACCGGACCCCATTTTCATTTAAGCACGTAAGACTGATGATAGACCATTAGATTGCCTGGAAATACACAGCAACAAAGCACAAAACCATGATGTAGCATAGACACATGCACGGAAAGGCGCAATATCTTCTATGGGTGACAGAACTACGTATGTAACAACATAGGAGTGTAAAACATGTGTATCATGACAACGGAATGTGCTGGAAGGAGAATATCAAGACAGGACTAAATATTCTAGACTACCATGGCATGAAGAGACACACACAACCAGGTTGAACAGAATCTGATAGTCTGCTCTGCTATGCCAGTTGATATGACATGATGGGTTCTAGTGCGACAGGCTGTGATAAGCCTTAAGATCACTTGACAAACTTCAAGCAGGAAACACGTAGCTTTTTTGTCCCAATAAAAAGCGGGCGTCATTCATTTATTGAGGCACAAATGGCAGATTCGTCGTCCGGGAAACAAGCTCGAGTATCTGTGGCAGGCCTGCGTCACGCACACCGGTGGAGATGCAAGGCACCGTCATTTCCGGGGTAAGGATTCCTGAACCCTTAATCCCGACACCCTACCACACAGTTTAGAGCCTGCCAGGTGGTAGTAGTGGTCGTCATGGTGCCGGTAGAGGTGGTTTGCTGGCAGTGGTGGCAGTTTACAAAGACTCCGCCCTCAGCACCAGAAGATATACTATACTTCTATCCAATCGCAATGGGAATTCTAGCCCATCAGCACACCAGTCCCTAAACCCTAAACCCTGTGGCTAAAGCGCCTGACTGACGTGCTACGATTCCCTGATCGACACGGCTTCAGGGTGAAGAGCCCATCGCGGCGCAGTAAAACCTAAACCCTGAAACCTAAAACCCTAAGCCCTAAACCCTAAACTTACAGCAAGAAAGAGAACTCGGAAAGCTTGGAATGTCGGCTCGTGCTCTGTAGGATGAAAGGCAGCCCTAAATTGGGGGACCCTCCACAGCTAAAGGGTACTTCATAGAAACCCCTGTAAGGGATCTACTTTCTGGATCCTAGGTTCGTGATCGTTCGGAGGTGCTGAGGCCTTCAATCAGCATTGAGAGCCCACGACTCAAGGACTCACAGCTGCAAGTCCAGCACATGATGGCCCAAACCCTGCATCCTGTACCCAACACCTCGCACTTTTCGGTCCTAATTCCTGAGACCCAAAACCCTTCGTATCCTGTACCCAACACCCCGCACTTTTCGGCCCTAATTCCTGAGACCCAAAACCCTTCGCAAACGAAGACAGCCCAGAGATTGCTTTGTGCAAGCTTGTCCTCCATCCGTCCGTCGGCCTCCCCCTCGTCGCCTCTTCGGTTTACACCGGGCTTCCCGGGTTTGGGATCTGGGGTTGGGGTTCGGGGTTTAGGGTTCTAGCTCTAGGTTATTTTTTGAACCTTGCTGCTGCTTTGAGGCTTGGATGTTTTAGGGTTCAAGGTATAGGGTTGCCCCTTCAGATTAGGTATATGAGGCTGTGGGCTTTGGGCTTTGGTCCTAGGCTTCAGAGCATCGGGGACACCAGTTTAGGGCTCCTTTTGGGGCTCAACCGCTTTTCTTCAAAAAACCGACGGTTGTGGGTTCTAGGGTTTAGGGTTTAGGGCTTGGGGCGTAGAGTTTAGGGTTTAGGGCAATCTCTGCAAGCTTGCTCAAGAGCTGGAATTTCGCACACACACACACAGAGAGCTAATTGACGATGGTCAGGTTGAGCTCCGTTCGGAGACATATCTCTCCACCGAGCCCCAACAATTACGTGGCAGATGCTCTGAACTATGGTCCACTTCCGTGGTCTTTACATGTATGTGGACTGGCACGTGAATGCCCTGAAGGGGAACCTTCCTTACAGTATATCATAGTTCCCTTACGGTTGTGAAATCGTTTACCCGGATTGGTCCAAAGTTTCAGGATCCCAAGATACGAAAACTTGAATTCTGTAAGTCTAAAAAACCTTAAACCGCTGCAAGATGAAGAGCCTGCCCAGCAACCTTGCCACCCAACTCGTACAGAAAACGTTCATAAAGAATCCCACCCAAAAAAAAGCAAAAACCTAAGCCCTAGATCTTGTTTCGGCCATCAATCCCAAATGCGCTAGAGTTGCCTCCACCTGTTTCGAAACCACGAAAACCTCAAAATAGGGGCCTTGATGCATCGTATAGTGAGAAGAGGCTTTTAGGCTACTCTATCGAAATAGCTAAAAAAGGGCCTGCGCAGATACTGATACGAAATGCTCAGACCTCTATGTTCCTTTACTAAACATGACTCCCGCCGTCTGGGACGTCGCCGGGCGCAGGAAGGGAAGGCGTCACCTGAAAGAGTGGCTTTCGGTGTGCTTTTGGCGTTTAAGGTTCGGGACCGCTAAACCCTAAACCCGAACCCAAACGAAGACTCCTGAACTAGACCTCTTGCAGCGCTGAGTGCTTCATACTCTGGAAGGCTGATGATGCTTCCGAGCCCATGGGCTCGAGCGAGCAGGCTTGGACTCAGCATGTTATATGCTATATACTATATGCTACATACTATAGACTTTGTACAACATGTTATGTATATACATATACATACTTTATGATATATATATATATATGCAAATGTGTTACGAAATTTACATTATATGTTATTGACCTCATACTATAGTGCAGATGTGAATCATATAACAGCATACCATATATTGTATAGTACATGCTACAAATTATATGTTGTAGGTTATCTGCCATATCGAATGCAAAACGTTTATACACCGCATACATAATGGTTATATCAGCTGTTCTTAAGTATATCTATAGAATACTATATAATGTACTATATATATATATAACAAAACATGTTTATAAATATGAGTGTATATGTATGTATGTTTATTGGTTATGGGATTATACAAACATATGTATATGGGGCTATACGTATCTCTGTATTCATATTCATTGGCTCTATATATATACACATATATATATATACACACATATACATATATACACACACGTCGAAATCACCATACTACATATTGTAAACTGTATATTGTATATAACATATCTTATTGTGTTTATACGTTTCAATACATAGTACACATACTGTATGATATGTTACATATTAAACACTATATGTTGTTAAATATTTCCGAACGCATCTTACATATAATATGTTATACAATATTTACTGTATACCATATGTTATAGGATCTTTGGTATCTGGTATGCACTATATAGTATATTATACAGTTTATAGTATACAGTAGATAGTATAATTAGTATAACCTCTATACTCTACATCCTATACCCTATGTTCAATATTCTATATTCTTGATGTCAAATGTTCTGCACCCTGTATTCTATAGTCTATAACGTATATTCTGCATTATTTACATATACTCGATATCATACATTTTGTGTTGTATGCCTTCATCAGTCGAGCCCTGCCACAATACATCACAAAGTAATGTATCTTCAGCCACGCACGCATTGCATAGTGTTATGGCATTGAATGAATATTGCTGGACAACAACAGAGCATCATTCTCTCTAAGCCCTTCGAAGGCTTAGCATGTCATCTACGGGCCTACATTGGGACCTACATCCGTGTTTCTCGCAGTAACACTCTATGCTCCATATCGAAAACCGGTCGAAACATGTTGAAGACCGAACAAAAATCCCGTGAACTCAACAATTCGAGGACATGGGAGAAAAACAACAAATTAATCCCACACCCCGAAAGCCCCAAACCCAGCTCCTCACCCAAAAACCTAAAGCCATAAACGGTCCCAGGGATTTGGATTATGGCTTTGAACGCTCTGGGCTGCCAAATTGAGCCTAAACCCTGAGTTGAGGGCTCCGTATTTAGACCCTCAGCTTACGACGCGCAACTTCGGCCACCCTCGTCAACAATACTCAAAGCCCTTTACCCTAAACCCGACCCTGAACCCTGCATGCCCGCTTATTCTTCCCTGAACCCTAAACGCCAATCCCTAAACTCTAACCCTTGCAAAACCCTGCATACCCCTTTCTTCTTCCGGGCGCCCCACCTGATCCAGCGCCTCCGCGAGTGCCCAGAGACGACTGGCAAACCTCGGACGGCGGGGGGATGAGAAAAAAAAAAGGATGGCGCACGAGAGGTTTGGGGCTTAAGGTTTGGGGTTTATGGTTCAGGGTTTAGGGTTTAGGGTTTGGGGGGGTCTGGGCTTTGGGCTTTGGCGTTGGAGTGGCTTAAGGGATTTTTGTCGGGGCTTGGAGTTTCTTAGGTTTGGGGTCTGGGGTTTTTGAGGTCAACCCTGGAGTGAGCAGGTCTTGGATTATTTTTGGGGCACACCTGCAGTCTTTTCGCTGTCCATGGGGGTCTAAACCCTAAACCCTAAACCCTAAACTCCTAAACCCTAAACCCTAAACCCTAAACCCCTAAACCCTAAACCCTAAACCCTAAACTCCTAAAGTTCGTAAATTGAGCCTGGGGATTCGGGGTAGGGGCCCTTGAGGCCCGGGATGTGAGTCTCGGAGTTCGAATGCCCAAGTCCCACACCTCAAGACCAGTATGCTGTTTTGCGGTTTAGGGGTTTTTTTTTTTGAACTCCTTTTTGGCCTCGCACGACAAGTCCTGCCAAACCAAGGCGCATATGCACCAGGAGACCCACTGGTTTCAGCGGGCAAAACTCAACCCTCATGGATAACCTTCAGCACGTCAGGCAAGAGTGGCATCAACCCCTGCAAACCCTGACCCTATCCCTCAGCTGGCATCCTCAGCCTCATCCAGAGCTGTATCGGGTAACTCTCGTTGATCCCTCGTGGTAGCTGCATGAAAGGCCTCCCCACTCATGTAGATCAAGTGCTCCGCATGTAAGGCATCAAGGATAGCCGGCCCATGTTCTTGAACCACTTGCTGTGCTGAGATCATGCCTGCTCGCCACTGGAGATAAAGCTGTTGCAGTCGATCAGGAGCCAGTGCCGAGACAATGTTCCAACTCGACCCCCTGGCTACATCCCCATCCCTCTGTGAAGCGTCTTCCAACGGGGCGGGCACCTCACGAGACTCCACCGACATCTTCAGTCGGAGTTCGACAGGTCGAGCATGTAGCAAGGGAACCACAACCTCAGCTGGAGGGCCATCCTCCTCACCTTGTAGCATGACACGTAGGACACGTTTTCGGGTGGGTTGAGGTCTGTTGAGGGAGTCGAACATAGCCCAATCGTCCCAATCCTGCATTGCTGCGCTCTCATGTTCCTGGATAAGGTGCTCATAGTATTTGGTTTCAAGGGCATCCTCATGCTCCTGTTCCGCGGCGACAGCATCAGCTTCCACTTGTGAGGCTATCGCATCCAATTGACTCTCCGTCGGGCTGGGAGGTGAGTGTCGGGAGGGCACCGAAGGCGACTGCACCACCATTGGCTGGCTCACCGGCTGAGGCCTGGGAGGCCCCTTTGGCGCATCCCCCGGCTTAGCATGTTCGGAGCCATTGGACTCCGAGTGAAGCAGCTCATCAGGAATATCAGGCCGGTGTAGGGCTGGTAGAGGATCATGGTTTAGCGGACCACGGCCGAGATGTGCCAAGGACCCTTGGACCAAAGGTAGGTAAGGCATCATCCTCCGGAACCACTCCGAGCACCACGTAGTGCACCAAACCGTGTCTGGGCTATCAACGTCGCCTGCGTCGGCCTCGGCCCCAGCAAGCAAAGCCACAAGCTCACCAGCACGCCCACGAAGGAGGCCCAAGAGTTGCCCTGAAGTGACATCCACACATCGCTGGTGAAGTAAGCGTCGTATCCAGCGAATGTTTTGCTTCATGGCCGCCTTGGTTTGCTGCTCAAAAGCCACCTGAAGCTCCCGCAGAAGCTTGTACCACTGCAGATCCGTGGTCTGCATAGACATTGTCTCGTCCGACTCCGCGTCATCCGCTGCCTGCGAGGTGTCTGCTGGCGTCTCACGGCGCTCGGAGTCCCGGTGCTCCCTGCTGCATGCTTCCTCGATCAAGTGTCCCACCGACGAAAGCAGGGATTGGACCAGGCGAGTGAACCCCAGGGCCAAGGTGAGCCGGTCCTTGACCCCAAAGCTCAAAAAGCTCTGGCAGACAACCTCCTCCACAAACGTCGGCAGTAGCCCACCAGGGGGAGATTCATTGTTCTCATCCGTGATCCCAAGCCAAAGAAGCCACAGCTGCACAGCGTCCGGGAGCGAAAGGCAGCCATCACCGGAGCTGCCTGATGATGTCGGGGCGGTCCCACGGCTTGCAGGCAAAGCTGTGCTGCCTCCTGAGCCCGAGGAGCCCCTGGTCCTGGGAGGTCTCACACAGCGACTGAGATCAATAGACTCTCTGGTCTCAGCAACCCTGGCTCGAGGTACACGAGGCGGAGGATCACGAGGCTCGACTGGTCCACGAGCAGGCTGATGGCGGGGATGTCGTTGGTCACGGTTTCGACTCTTGCTCTTGAGCCATCTCTTATTAACACCCTTGTGATCCATGAGCGACACACTGTCGTCAAACTCATCTTGTTCCTCCAGTGTCCCTGGCCGGGCGTCAGTGGGTGTGGCCTCCAAGGTCTGCAGGCCCTCTGGCTCCTGGGAAGTCACCGAAGTATGATTTGTCACATGTTGGCCGGATCCGGAAGAAGAGGCAGCCGAGCAGGAAGGTGCAGCCAAGGCATCATTGCTGGAGCATGCCGAAGTTGAAGCGCCCCTATTCACCCCGAGGGAACCATCCGAGCCACCGTGTTGGACAAAGAGTGCGAACAACTTCGTTTCGGTGTTCACCGCCCAGGCAGCATGTGAGAGGGGAGTGGAAGGTCCCTCACCAATGCAAAGGTCCATCGAAAGTCGTTGCACGAGGTCATTGACAATGAGCATGTAGGGCTCGCTGTGTCGCAGCGAGGCACGAGCAAGAAGTCCTCGCAGCAGGGAGGGTCCATCCCACCTCGCCAGAAGAAGTTGATCAAGCTCGTCTCTGGTGTCCCAAAGCCATTGTTCCACAAGCTGTAGCCATCGGTTCTCGCCTCCCGTTCGCTTGCTGCCCACAGGCAAGAGCGAGCTCAAGACGGGGTTCCATTCACGGATGAGGTTGAAGTTGTACACACCCTCGAGGACCATCATGTCATTCACCGGAATGTGGTCAGCAAAGAGGCCCCCGTGCGAAACGTGGTCCCACAGTTGTCTCATGCATGCCGGAAAATGCCCCTCCAGGAATTCGATAAGCATGGATTCTTCCGTATAGAGAACCCAAGCGTTGACATCCTCAAGCAAGTTCTCAGGGATAGTCGTGGCCGTCAACGAGGTGGTCGCTGCAGCAAGGTCAGCAGCAACACCGTTGGAGAAGGCCAGGTACCCCTCATCACCACGCGAGGAGGTGGCCAATCTCAATCGTGCCTGAAGTAATTGTGGGGAGCACCCCCTTCGGACCAGCTGATCCATCTGACTCGCTGCCTGCATCATCCAGCGAGGCCACCAATCATCGAACTGATCCGGGGGCTTGGCATCCACAAGGGTCGAGAAAAGTGTAACCCCAGCCAAGTTGGCTGAGAAAGTATGAAGTCCACGATCGGATAGAAGAGAAAAGCTCCAGCCCTCATCCCAAAGGAGGAGGAGTGGAAGGCGAAATGCCAGAGCACCGAACATTGCGAGCGAGGGGAATGTCAACCAAGTCGCGGAAGGAGCCCAGAGCTCTCAGATTGTCACATCTTCACAAAACCCTAACCCAAACCCTTCCCTGGTCCACATTCTCGCGAAACATGATGGCGTAGACAGAAAACCCTTGTCCCTAGGTGGCGTCTTCAATGCTGCACTGCAACCCTGAGCACCAAGGCAGATCATGACGACGAATCCATTCCTCACAGAGGACACCCCAACCCTTTCTGCAATGAGCAAAGCGCCTCCAGGGGCCGGAGCAAATGTCGTCCATTTTCTGCTCCATGGCCATGAGCCTCGGAAAGAATCTGCCCGGATGTCTGACCCCATCCTTCTTCCCTTTCTCGTTATTCCACCATTCGAGCGTTCTAAAGGACTCCAAGAAGGCACTTACAGGTGGAGAGGATCTGAGAAGGGATCTGGCACGATGTCCCGAATAGTTCCACCACTTCTTCAACCATTGGGTGCTCCACCGGGGAACTTTGGAGTACCAAAGGGCAGCCCTTGCTGATCGAACAGTTCGCCTCCTGAAATCAATCCATGCCTCACCTTTGCGTTTACCAAGCTTAAGGAGCCATCCCATCAACACGAACTGGAAGGAGTTCACCATCCGTAGCCCAAGAGGTTCGGGTGGTAGTGCTGCAATGCACCAAAGGGCAGTGTTGGTAACTACTTTGTTCATGAGCACGGTCCTTGCTTTGACTGAGGCTTTAGCACGGAGGAGATGGGAGATACTCCAAAATTTCGCCCTAGCCCTGGCCAGGAGAGGCTGGATCGTTTGGGTGATCGCATTCCCAACCACGAATCCTCCGAGGAGAGAGTAAACCCCTGAACCCTGATCTGCCGCGCCCCTGTAGCAAAGGGTGAACAATACAATCGGCACTTGCCGATGTTAAGGTTCAACCCATAACCAGCCAGGATCTCGGAGAATTCACGAAGTCTGCGGGCAACTTGTTCACAGTCACAACCCCAAAGAACCCCATCATCCATGTACAGCAATTCCTCCTGCAAGAGGTCAGGGAACACCTTGGGCCTGGTATGCCAGGAATGCTTTTCCGAGGCCTCCATCAGCGCCACATCCATGAGGAAGCTGAAAAGAAGAGGAGATTCAATCGCCCCCTGTTTAATCCCTGATTCAAGCTTTACCTCACTGCTCCCCCATGCTGACTGCAATGTCGCTTGGGTGTTCATAAGAAGGGCACGAAAGGCACGAAGTTCGAAAGTGTCCCCAATTCTGGATTGGAGGTGCCCAATAAGCTTCGATCTGTCCACAGTATCAAAGGCTTTGGAAATGTCGAGCTTGACTGCACACAACCCTTGCTTCCATTCTTGCTCAAGTTGAAAGAGTCTGTGCAGGGTGAAGATCACATCCGTGGCTTGCCGACCCCTACCCGCGCACTGTGCAGGGGAGACATGATCAAGTTGTTCAAGGACTCTATTAACAATCATTCTCGCAAAAAGCTTGGAAGCTGAGGACCCAAGTGCAATGGGACGAAGCTCTTTCGGATGGAGTGGGCATGAAGTTTTGGGAAGCAGGATAATAAGCGGCGCATTCCAGCCCTGTGGGACCCTCTGATCAACCAGAACTTTATTCATGAACTCCAGAAGATGACACTCCCCACCATCCACCGAAACCATGCCCCTGAGCAGCTCTGTCGAGGTGAGGTCCTGCCCCACGGACTTCCCTGTCTTCAGCTGTCCCAGGGCCAGCTGCAGTTCTTCAATGGAGAAGGCCCGACACGAACCCTGAAGTGGAGCGACTTCAACCAGACCCTGACCCTCATAAAGCCGCTGAAAGTGATCATGAACAACATCATGTGGGTCCCGACATTGAGCCTCAGCAAAGGATTGGTCCCAGGCAACGACACTCTTCCTGCTGAACTCTCGATAGGCCATCCAATCCCCATTAACAGCTTGAGAGAGCCGGGAGGCTTCCCACGACTGCCTCGCTTTTCTGCGACCTTTGAGTGCAGCTTTCCAGGCCTCATTGGACTTGCTGAGCTTGGCAGACCTAAAGAGCTGTTTGACCTCAGGGGGGTCACGGTAGCTGTTCCCAGGTTTAGGTTTGGTACATTGCTTCGCCAGCTGTTGCAAGACATCCTGGTCCACATGGGTGATCTGCTGGATCCCACCAGTCCAAACTCGGGGCGCCGTAGCATGTGGTTTCCAACTAGACTTCCCTCTCAAGCTGAAGGTGCCCTGCACGAGTTCATGGTCTGACCCCAGAAGATGGCACGAATCACAGTGGATGAAAACCCTGCCCCTGTGTACCCTCTTGGTAGCAAAGATGTCAATCTGGTGCCCTTCTCTAGCTTCCTGACGGGGCCTACTTGTGGGTAGCCGATGTTGTTGTACTGGTGGCGAGCAAGGGAGAAAACCTCCCTTGCTCATTTCGTCTAAAACCAAAGTCGCTTTGTGATTGAGAGCCACAGCTTCCACCGAGGATCCTCTTTGAACCCAAGTAAATGGAGCATTCGCATCCCCCTGCACAACAACCGGAAGGGAATCCTTTGGCTTCTTTGCGAAGAAGGAAACAAGGTCCTCACCATATTCATCAAGGTTGCACCCCGGGGTGAAGTGGAAAACTCCAAACCAAACAGAGATACCTGCCGAAAGGAGCTTCATCTTCAGCCATACCCCTTTTGGCCCAGAAACCTTTTGCAAGATTGCCCAGGCGGCAGGATTAAAGATCACCCCTCTGCCCCTCCACTCCTTTGCAGCACGGTACGATGTTTGCGTCAAGCCATCAACGATCTCACTGCTCCACCCTTGCTTTCGCCTAGGGAATTCCTGTACAAGAAGGATGTCACTGACACGAAGTCGCTTTCCCGTGGCTTGAAGGATCACATCCCTGAGGCTATCAAGTTTGACCCCGCCAACGTTCCAACCAAAAACATCAAATGTAACAAGCCCTCCACCTTGTCCATCACGATTCGAGGCGGAAGGGGCCCCGGAAGGGCCCAACTCTGCAGCGGCTTCACCGCCCAAAGCTCCCTGTAGTGTCATGTCATCATGCACCTGCACCAAATTATCAAAGGCCCCTTGTAAAGGTCACTTGCGTGTATCATCAAAGGCGGCTCGAAGGTCCTTCTCCTTGATCTTAGTCTCCAGGGAAAGCTTAGCGAGGTCAATCCAAGCTGGAGGGCTGCCCTTTCCCAACATCATGCTGTCCGAATGCGCTCCGTTGTTGGGGGTTCTGGTTCCACTGGCCACAAGGCTGTCCCCCAGCCAAACCGAACCAGTGCCATATTCCACATCGAGCTGCCTGATCCAACTCTCGTCAACCTGAGCTAAGCCACGCTTGACCCATCCACAGTGACTGCTAATGTCCCTTTGCGCCCTGGTTTTGCTATAGGAGCACCACAGCTTCCTCCCTGCAGAAGTGTACACCTTGGATTGGGCAACTGCAAGAACAATCTCGTGCATACGGTTTCGCCGGTCCTCATCGATCTCGTCTGGGAGGAGGGGGAAGTTCAGGAGAGCGATGTTCTTTCTGGGCCCCGTAGTAAAGGGCGTGTCAGAAAGCTTGGACTCCAACTCTAACCCTTTGAATGCCTGCCGAAGTTCTCCCAGAATTTTATCCTTCCGAGTGTCCCTCTCCCAGCCCCCGAAAACCAGGGTAGTGCGACGTCTCTCACCAAGCCCATCATCCGAGCTGGAACGGCGGTCTGATCTGGCTTCGCGCTCAAGGGCGAGAAGTCTCCCTTCAATCCCTTGCAACCCCAAAGACATGTCCTGAAGTTGTTGGTCAACCTTGTCAAGTCTCGACCCATGCCGGCTTTCCAGGCTCTCAATCAAAGACTCTGCGTGTTCTCGATTGGCTTGGAGGATACTCGCACTTTGCTCTGCAAGGAGTTGCTTCATGTCATCATACGTAAGTGCCAAGCTGTTGCGGGGAGCACTGTCAGGACGCATGGCTTTGTTAGCCCCAGGTACCTTCCCGGCGCCCCCACGTTTCTTGGCGGGACTTGGATCATCATCAACGTCCAGGGGCACAGGAATAGCTGAGGCATCCCCCAACTGAAGCATCCCTCACAGTTCGCCCGATTCCCGAAAATGACAGCAGAGCCCTCAGCCCCACAGCCAGCCCACAAGAGACGAAATCGGAGGCCACGACTACGAAAGTTCCTGTTTTCCAAGGGGGCCTTGAGCCTTGAGCCAAAATGGCTTGAGCCGTTTAGGGGTTTAGGGCTTAGGGTTTAGGGGTTTAGGGTTCGCCAGCGCAGTTGGCGCCCTCAGCAAATCGGCTGTGAAGCTTTTTGAAGGAATTTCCAGTCTCTAGGGGGTCACCCCTAATCCCTAAACTGATTTTCGCAAAAATTGTTGTTGACTTTGGCGCTAGTTCTCGTAGGCGCCCTTAATCCCCAAATACGGGCGCCCCTAATCCCAAAACACTGTCGCCCCTAATCCCAAAACTTTGGCGCCCCTAATCCCAAAACACTGGCACCTCCAATCCCAAAACACTGTCGCCCCTAATCCCAAAACATTGGCGCCCCTATCTAGGCTCTCCTGAGCTCTTCCTGCGGTCTTCCTTTGCTCTTCCTGGGCTCTTCCTAGGTTCTTCTGGGCTTTTCCTGGGCTCTTCCGGGCTCTTCCTGGACTTTTCTAAGCCCCAGCGCCTGGCCTAGCCGCTGGCACAATTTACTTAAACCTCCGTGTAAGCGAGTTCCTTCAATTTTTCTTAAATGTGTTGCATAGCTTGCGAATTTGTTTAAACTTGGCTCGCTTTGGTGTTTTTGAGATGAAACTTGCAAAATGATTTTAATTGCATGGTCGTTGTCGTTTGCTTTCCTGCTTTCCTTCTGCTCGTCAAACAACAACACCTGCGCTGGCGCACTTAGGCGCAAGCCTTTAAAATTTAGGATTTAGGGAGTTTTAGCCCCAGACTTAGAAACCATTCAGGTTCACTGTTGTGCAACTGCTTCTTCCATCGACGTCATTTGCTAGGTCGAAGAGGTGGCCGTAGTCACTTCTTTTTGTTCTTTTTTTGCCTTGGCCGCGGCCAAAATGCTAGGAAAGGGTCAGATTCACATGAGAGTAGCATCCGCAACAGGAAATCCCGGACCTGCGATCCCAAAACCTACTACAGCATGTCCCGGGCGTCCTAAAGTACGTCCGAGAAGAAGCTTCGAGAGACCTCTCTGCGACGCTCCAGCCCGAATCTTCAAAGATCTTCGGAACCTGTGCTTGAACAAGGGGGCCTAAACACTTAGAATCGCTTAGACTCGGGCTTTGGGATAGAATATTATACTACATCGGTATAGCTGTATAGCTATTATAGGAAGAAGAATCATCCAGGCCCGTATATTAAACCCTGGGCCCAAACCCAACCCAGACAGAAACCCAGAGACGTCCCAGAAGGTGCTTCCTGTCAAAAACCCCGAAGCCCTAAGCCCGAAACCCCTAAAGCCTAAACTTGAGCATACACTGCCCTAAACCCTAAAGTCCCGAAAAGCCCCCGAAAGCCCCTAAATCAACTCAACTTGCATCTTCCATGCGGCCAAGAGTCAGTGGCGACGGTTCCCGTGGCTCCATGTCAGCTTCGAGGTTTTGGGGTTTCTAGGGATGGACTTGGGGGTTTAGGGTTTAGGGTTTGGGGACTTGGAGCTCTTCCTTTGGCGCCCATGCAGTAGAGGGAGTTGGGCGCTCATGCGGTTCGGCTGTGTTTCGCGTTGGTGTCTCAGCGAGGCTTCTTTCAGTCTCTAGTCCTTCACATGCTGTGGGCCGAGAATACCGAAAGACAACCACCCTAGGAGACTCAAAGACGCTAAATGCTGATGCGGGACAAGGTGACTAAGCTAGTTCTCCTCAGCTGCACCAAACGTGCAAGGCCTTCCAGCATTAGAAGCGGGGCCCCTGCAGGAACTTGAGCTCAAACTTGTCAGTGAACTCCAAGTACTTGTGCCTGGCAGAGACGGCAACAGGTTCAGGCATCTGCTGATGCCGCAGCATGAACAGACTTGTCCACAAGGTTCCAATTTTTTTCCGCCACAGCCTGCCTGTGTTAAAAAAAAAAACATCACCCCAGAAGCTTGCTGCTTGGAAAACCACAGCAGGGCCAATTTTTTCGTCTTGCTGAATCTGCTCGGGTGGAGTTCGAGGATCGCCACGATCTGCAGCGCATTGCTGATTTGCTCATGACGATGATCTGAGCCAAATAAAAAAAGATTGGATCCACCGGAAAAAGGAAGGTCTGCGAGATGCTCTGTGCGCTTATGGGAGCCAACAAGCTGGAGAGCGAAAACTGGTATAGACAGCCCCGCGATCATGTCGCTGCCTGTCCACGATGCCTGGGCCACACTCAAGGCTATATCGAGTTCGAGGGATGGATCCGGATGAGTGCGACGACGTTCCTGGAACTGGGCCTTGCCATCGCAACACTCTGAACATCTTTTGCCGAGGAAAAACTGCCCGAGATAATATAGGGGCCTAAAGCAGTAATTGCCGATGATATTTTTTTGGCTCCTTATTATAATTCTAGTACAAACCCTATCTGCTTGAAGCATTGTGGCAGTATGGTATCGCAACCGAAACGAGTTGAATCAGCAAGAGACGGCCAGCACAAACGCGTCGGGTGGTGCTCATCCTCGCTAAGGGCCTTCAAGCAGTGACCGGTGAAGCTTAGAGTTCAGGGGTTGCTGAGATTCCTGTAGTTCGGATATAGACGACCCGGATGGTGTTTAGCTGGTGAGTATGCGCAGACTATCAGCTCCATAGCTCGTAGCTTGCATGGTGACCCAACCAGAGTAGGACAGCCTGCTGCTATATATCACCTTGGAGTCTGGGTGTCTGGCTTCAGCTCGAGGGAACGAATAAGCAATGAGGGTCTTTAGAGTTTCGGGCCGAGGAGTTATCGTTTGGTGGCTGATTCAGTGGGGTGAACACGAGAAGGTCTCAGGACCCAGGGATAAGATTAGCATTCGTATTAGTATTGGTATCTATACCCATAGTGATTAGTGAATATTGAAACTTGAAATTCGTATTCGTATTCGCATTCGTGTCCGTGTCCGCATTTGCATTCGTATTCGTATTAGTAATACTAATAGTATTAGTATTTGTATTAGCTAGTATTACCAGTATTAATAGTATTGTAGTATTCGTAAATTTCAGTATTATTCATATGTTCAGCATTATTTAATATTATCAGTTTCGTATGAATATTATTATTAGTATTAATTAGTATTAGTACGAAGTATTTAGCATTAGTATTAATATTAGTATCAGTCTGAGTATTGGTTGTGTTATGAGTATTAGTATTGGTAGCTGTCCTACTCTGAACCAGGAACGGGTGCAGAATCTCACTGCTACTGCGGTCCCCAGAACATCGAGCAGACAGCTGCAAAACGGTGTGTTGTGCACCTCTTCGCCGACAACTGCCTTCATGGCTCGCGTGTCCTGCAAGCTGTGGATCTCTTTCATTGACGTCTTCCCTTTAGAGGAGGGGTGCGGTATGCAATCAATTCGGAATGACAAAGTTTTTGCAAACTGACAACGACAACGAGGCAGCTCATCATTCTGCAGTCCTAGGTGACGTTGTACGATACTGTACTGCACCTAAGTACCAGTAGACAAGCATGCGAGTCTCGCATCCTATGGAAATTACAATAACCGAGGGGGCACGACCTGGATGTGGGAAGATGTATCCTGTCCCTGGACAAGTTGAGCACACTCCAACTCTAGCTGGAGCACAGCTGACCCAGCGGCTCCAGAATTCTCTCCCTGACCGAGGCCATCAACCAAAACCCAAAATTCTGTAGACTCCAAAACCCGACAGCTCCTGGCCAATGGCGTAGTTGGCATAGAGCTGATCAGACACATTGGGGTGGTCATCGCGCGTCATGCCTTGGCTATGAGGAAGTGCTCGCTGAATGATTCTTGTAAAACTTGCAAAGAAATGCATATACCTATAGGCCAGACTACTAGTCACTACTAGTGCGGGGGCATACCTTATTTGTCAAGTGGTGGTCAACAGTGCTCTGGATCTGGAACCGAGTTCCCCGTTGACTCCCGGAAATTGTGGAGCGAGGTTCTGGGTGAGACCTTATCCTCGGTGTAGGCATCAGGTTGGAGTCAAAAGACGATTACTCGTATCGAAGAAGCCCTCGTGTATCACTCAGCTGTTCCGAAAGCCCTCTGCGGGCTTGGGAAGAGCCATGGATGAGCCGGGGGTCATAGGATCTGGTCACGGACAGACAGAAGCCTGCTCCAAGATTCGCCTCTGTCAGGTGGAAAGACCAGAGCCTTCCATCTGTGTCCCCCAGCTGAAGCAAACTACAGGTGGGGAGTTTGGGGTATATAGGGCTTCTCTAAGGCTTCGATAAGGTGTCCTAGACCCAGTTGAATCGAAACCTCTTCGCAGCAAGGGCACCCTTTCCGATTCCGGACTTCATCAATCGGCTGAGGGATGGCAGCACCTGGGCAGTTACCACTCACTCTAAACCCTAAACCCTGAACCCTAAACCCTGAACCCTGAACCCTGCACCCTAAACCCTAAACCCTGAACCCTTAACCCTGAACCCTAAACCCTGAACCCTGAACCCTGCACCCTAAACCCTAAACCC